TCACAGTAGATTCTGCATGCTTGATATACTCAGATAAGTGAGCTTGTCATTTCTATAAAAGTGTAAGTCAGTCTTATTATTATAATACAGACATCTTATATATACTGTGTTATATAGTTAAGATATCTGATTATTCTTGATATTCTTCTTCTATTCTGACTTCTCTAAAACATTATCACTCAGAGTTTTATACTGCTTTTAACTAGTTCTTTAGCACTTCTTATTCTCTTCTATCAGTGATGATTCTTTTATATCTGTATCTATCTATTCAGCTTCTGCTTTTAATTTTACTTATAGTTCTTTATTATCTGCTACTTTCACTGCAGTCTTCTAAATCTCTCTCTTCTTATTTATCTCAACATCTTCTTCTGAAAACTGATATGTAAATAGTTATATCTTTTTCAAATGAATAAAAAGTGTTATAAGCTTTTATATTACAGTCTTAGACTCTTTCTAACTCTTCAAGCTTCTATTATGTAATTTATCTATTGACTTTTTCATAGCAGTATCATACAGTTTATCTGATTAATAATGAGATATCACTGTCTTTTTCTTATCTTAGCTTTTAACTGCTTTGTATATAAAAAGATAAGATAATAGTATTAAAAGCTTCTCTCTGAAGTTACTAGAATTGAAGATTTCTGATTTATTCTCTATCTGAAATTTTAACTCTTTACTTTTATTATCTTCTTTTTATCTCATTCTTATCTATCTTCTCTTTATTAGTCTTCTTACTTATCTTTTTACTTATTATCTTACTTATCTTCTCTTCTCTATTACTTATATGAAGAAGAGTATCACACTTCTTCTAACTTAATAACTGAAATAATTTCTCTAAGATTAAGATCTTTTTTATTATACTTACTACTTTCATCTTCACAGAATCACAGCTGTTAACTTCTTCTTAGAGATTATTATTTCTGCAGTTTAATCTTCTGTGTATTACAACAGACTTCTTATAAAAAAAAAAATGCATAGTAGAGTTTTTTACTAGATCTGTTATATTCTTACTGAAATTTTTATCTAACACTTCTATACTCATAAATCAATGTATATAATAGTAAAATAATGTGAGAAATAAGAGAAGAGTAAGAGAGAAGTGATTGTAATATATATATTAATATAATTATTTATCTATATAATCTCAGTCTTTTAATTTTTATTACTTACAGAATCATCTCTCTATTACAATGAAACTTTTATTTTTATCTATCTTATTAAAGAATTCTTTCTCATTTAAGTTTCTTATAATTTCTTTATAATCTATTTCTTTTCTTATAACTGTTTTTAGATTGAAGAGCTTTTATCTCTTCTTTATTATTTCTTTTCAAGCTATTCTTACATCTTTTATTTTTTATATAAACAAACAATTCTTACATCTGATCACTCTTTGTTATGAACAAAGCAATTCTATTGTTCATCTCTTTGAGCCTAGTGTCTGCAATATCTGTCACCTTCTTTCAATGTCATTTTTTCTTCTCGGCGAACACATTCTTTCAGATAGAGAGACTGTGATGTGCTTCCACCCTCTATTCAAGTCAATCTTCTATTCAACTCTAGCTTCTGTTTCATCTCTTGCTGTTTTCTGAAGCTTCTGCTTCTATCTTCTCTACAGAGCCTCTGTCCTTCTCTTCATATGCAATCACTTCTTCTATGAGAGCTTCTGCTCCTTCTCTACAGAGCCTCTGTTCTTCCCTTCATATGCGATCACTCCTTCTATGAGAGTTAATCTCTATAAACAATCACTGTACATATAGGGGTGTACGCCCATCTCCCATCTTTTAGAGAATCAGACGTGTTTTTACCCTTATATCTGACCCTACGTAGCGGCGTACGCTACATGAAATGCCTCATCACTTCTCTCACAGGATTTGTATCATTATTAGTCAGAATTTCACACAGCATTTCATAGTTAATATAGATCTTATTGTGTAAGAACTTTATCATTATCTTCTCAGTCACTTCTGAAACTGCTTTTACTACTGATCAATCAGTAGTGTAGTCAATAGCAGTGAAATGGCGACGACTAATCGGTCCTAGCCAAATAAGTAATATATTTAGAACCAACCCCTTAGAGCGATTATCCTTGGCCCACAATTTCCAAGGGAGTTGGCGGCGCGGTTGGAGCACCCTGTCTTGTGTTCAAGAATGCTAACCTTGTCTGTGCCTGAGTCGACATGTGAAGTTACTGAAATTAGCGGAGGAGGGTCTTCGAAGGGAATAATCAGAAATCCCATCCGGACCATCAGTATGGAATTTTCCTCTGGCCAACTTCTCCTAGTGTCAAGTCTGTCTAGGCTCCCAGTCACTGATGTACACACTGTTTTGAGCGATCCCACAGTTTAAAATACCGGTTTCAAATCGGCAATTCTACACCCAGTGCAGAAATACCTACAAGTATGTCTGATTGAATCCATTAGTCAAGCTGTATGAACGTTTCAAGGGTATAAAGTACAAGCATATATCTTATCATCAACAATCATAAAAGAAACCTACATTTATAGGCTAAAAAAGGTAGCAAGAGAGACGTCTCTTGCCGTGCCGTACAACTAGTCGATCGAAAGATTAATCAATCGAAAACCGGCCCCAAACTAACCAAGCTAAACCTCACATCACCCCCAGCCTCTGCCTCCTTCTTCAACAGCTGGCGAACGCCCAACTGCAAGCCCTTCTCACTCAATACATCCTCATCCTCGCCCAAAGCGCCACGGTCCAATGGTCCCGTTCTCCGCCCATCCAGTTCCCATAAATGTCCATCATTTCCTTTCACGAAGCATACAAAATGCAAATCTATCTTCTCATCCGCGTCCGGAGCTGCAGTATCCCCTTTCTTCGCCGCCTCGGCATGTGCGCTCTCCAAGGACTTGCTTGCATATAGTAAATCAGCTCTCTCAGCAGGCTTCAGCGGCTCCGCATCTCGCAGCAGTTGATCCAGATCTGAGCCAGGTGTGATATGAGCCTTTGCAGCACCGTTACTGATTGCATGTAGGAGTCCGATTAGCCCGCAGGCGTTGCGGATCGTTTGTTTGAACCAGGTTACAGGTTCGTTGGGACCGCAACCTTCGTATACAGGTCTATCTGTGTCCTCTGCGATGCGCGCGGCTTCGTAGGCTTTGGTGACTGGGAAGACAAGGAGGATAGCATGGGAGGGGCGGGGCACGAAGGCGATGAGATCGGGGTCATCGATGCTGTAGATATCGGTGAAGCCAAGAGCGGGTGAGACACCTAGCTGATGGATGAGGTGTGACATCACTTCTGGGTTGTTTTCTGCACGTCTGTTAGCATACTAGTCTTGCTGCGGCAATGGAGTTAGTCCGCATCTTTCTGGAGAGGAGGGGTAGCTTTTCACCAAGAGGTACAAAGGCCTTGGCCGTTGCTGGCGCATTTGGATTTCCTGCCATGGTAAAACCTTCGAGAGTTCACGGATAGTAATGTTGATTCTAGAATAGGTTCAAGTCGACAAGTGAGTTGGTCGGGATATAAATAGGGAATCTGTCAAGACGGATGTTCGTAAGACATATTGATGTTGCCTTTGATGTACGCGGGCAGCCGTCCTAGGTAACTTATCGCCGCCTATTCTGCTTTAGGCAACTCGGCAGCCTATAACGTGACTCACCACCCAACGAACTCATCCACTCAACGAACTGCTACCACTCACCATGCCACTCAATGAAGTGATTATAGAGCAAGCAATCACTCAATTGAATCAACAATTGATTTCTAAATATGCTGAGATTGCAAAGAAATTCAGCATCAATTGCATTATCTTGACATAATGATTCAAAGATCAACAGATGTTCAGAATAAAGATAATATTAACTTACTATCAGAATCTCATGAATACTGAAGAACAATATCTTCTATTTCATATTAATTGGTTATTCAATTACAGATTCTCTATGATATCTCAAATACTGTATAATTTTGTATTTGAGATCATTAAGATATAAATAGAAATCAACTAAGTATCTTACTTTTTATAAGCAGTATAAAATAAAGATTAAGAGTATCTATCTCATCATCTCTATCACTTCTCTCACTTCTCTCACTTCTACCACCTCTATCACCCCTCTCTATCACCTTTTTCACTCTCTAGCCTCTCTATCACCATCATTATCTCTACTACTCTACAGTCTCTTCTATCACTTTCACTATCTCTACTTCTCTCTTACTATCTCTACCACATTTTGATCTCTGTATTTATAGTATATACTGCTAAATACTCTGTAATAAAATCTCATGTGATGTCATATACATCTCTTTGAATTCATGAAGGAGATTAAATAGCTGACTCTGCAGTCTGTACAGCTCTGATTAATCTGATAATGATGATAGAGATGATACAGAGTGGGAGAGAGTAGTAGAAGGAGTAGAGGTGATGATGATAGAGAGAGTAGAGGGTGAAAGAGATGGAAGAGGTGATAAGAGTGGGTAGAGATAGAGGGCGGAAGTGATAGAGGGGTTGTGAGGTGGTAGAGGCGGTGATGGTGGTAAGAGGGGATAGATGAAAGAGGTGGTAAGAGGGTAGACAGATACGAGGGTGAAAGTGGTAGAGGGGGATTGCGGGGCGGTA